TAACTTTAAATTTTTTGATACTTTTTAGTAAAGCAAACAGAGCAGCTTATCAATAAAAAATTAGGAACAAAATAGATAACAGTTATATTCATATTCATCAGTTAATAAGACTAATCAAAAAGTTTTTTAACAATTTTCCAAGTTTTTATTATTACTTTTGAATAGTCAAAAAAAGCCAGCACATCACTCTTTGATTTGTCTTCGAACATTCCTACTCCAGCGTAGTTGGTAGAAGATAAAAATGACTAGATGTAAAGATTCAAATTTTGGAAATGACCTTTTAAATTCAAGAAACAATGACAGAGTTTTTCTGTTTCCAAAAAAAGAAATTATAAATAATTGTAGGCTAAAAATTCCTCGAAAGTTTTGTGACCTTAAGCTTTTGAAACTTTTTTTTGTATTTGAAAACAGAATACAGTTTTTTTTCCTGTCGGCCCAGTCACTCGAATGCTTCGTATAAGTGTTAACGCCTCATTGCATGTAGCATTTCAGCGATAAAAGTAATTTATATATTACTACTGTTTTCCCAGTCTTCAGAATATCAACTGAGTAACAAAAGGTCAAATTTGCAAAAAAAAAAAAATGCTGCAGTTGTTGGCATTAACTGCTTTTTTTTTAATGGTATTTTGCAACTCTGAACTTTTTAGTGAAATTGCCAATTTATCCAAGACGTTAAAGTATCAGCCAGCGACAAACTTTTAAGTCACCTCTATCAATGAAACTTTTTTGCATAAGTTTCTTTGAGCAAACAATACAAAAGTCTGAAAACTCATAAGAAAAAAATTGTTTGTTAAAACCATTATAGTTTTTGTACAAAAATTTGTAGAATTTGCTAAATAACAGATATTAGTTGAGTGAATGAAAGTATTATTTTTTTGGTGAATAAGAAAAGAAAGAAATTATTTTTGTGCGCTTTGCTTATTTGAGGAGAGACAGACAGGATAAACATAAAAAAAACTTTAAATTTTGAATTTTTGGAGATAAAAAAAGAAAATAGTTATTGTTTTTTTTTTTGAGACCAGTTGAACTGTCACTGAAAAAAGTTACTTTTGGCATGGTCAACAGAAATGTCAGGTAAATCTTATTAATCTTGGCAAACAAAAGCCAATACAATTAGTTTTTTTGCCAAGATTAATGAGATTTACCTGACTTTTCTCTAGCCATCAGTTCTAAGAAAAATTTTGGTTGTTCTAATTCTGCTGTCAAATATCCTTATATTCTATTCTAAATTTCTCATTTTTTTTTTTTATTTGAAACTTTAAATTTCAAAAAGCTTCAGCTTGTACACTAGTAGCAAAATGTTTAGAATATTCATAACCATTTTAAAGTGGTGTCAAAAGAGCATTATTTAAAGTGAAGGTCTATGAAACAACTGAAAAAGCTCTAATAAACCAAAACTTCTTTTACCAAAAACCAGTAAAATGTTGTAAAATTTTTTTGTCAAACTTAATAGATAATTACAAAATTAACGAAAAAATAAGACATTTAACTATGAAAATAAATGCATCTTAGTTTTTAGTGGAGTTTATTTGGTGAAAGTCTAAATGATTGTCACTAGTAACACTATAGTTTTACCTTAAAAGTACTTTGTTTGCAAGATTATTTGTCTTTGAATTTGCCAAATACATTCATTTCTTTTTGGCCTTCCGTAACCCAATTAAGAAAAGAACGTTTGGCTGAAACAGCGCTCTGCAATTACTCATCTTTTGCTCCATGGTGACGTTTAATCTAGCCAACGGTCAAAACCGAACATCATAGAGTATTCTCGTTCAGATCCTTTTTTGAAATGCTTTATTCAAACAAACCGTAACGAGTCCTCGTTTCCTTCATTAAATCTACCTTGTCATAGTTCCTTTACTTTTTTGGATGTACTGCCTCCCCACGCCTTGTGCGACTCTCAGTGATTGCTCGCGCAGGCGCCACTACTGCCTAATGCAACAAATATTAAACCGTTAATTCAGAGAGCTTGTCAACTTCCTTTTTAGCAGTTTGTAGCTTACTTTTTTCTGCATATACTGTGTTATTTCTTTTAATGATTCTGAATCTTCTTTGAACTCCTAAACTATTGATACAGATCTGGAAAAACAAAATCAACAGCTCGTCTGCTTCGTTCACGGCTATTCTACATAATGTAGAGCACTTTCACACCATAGCGTTCAGAGCAAGTCGCTTAATTTCTCATCACCTTTACCAAACAGCAGGTTTATAATTTTCCTATTTTCCAAACTCCAGTACTCTTCAAATTTGTTTTAAAACTAAGTTAACTTATTTTTCCACTTCTTTACTAAGGATACAACAACTTCTTCAGGTTCCCACCGTCTTGGTACGCGCTGCTTAATTGATTAGCGAATACAGAACGCTGTTGATTCCCAGTAGTTCCTCTTGTTTGACTAATTAATAGAAGCGATAAAATTGAATAGGAATGTCCAGTTGAGTTTATTCCATTCCTAACACGTCAATGAAATGCTTGAAATCTGGCGCTACTTCCACAAGAACGCAGAATTAACCTCGAAATTTTCTTTCATCATTTAATATTGGTTTAATAAATAATCTGGTCATCAATATTTTTGGAATAAATTTTTGCATTTATAGATTTGAGAGTTTCAAAAGACAGTGTACTGATATCCTGCTCCATATGAGGTATAAATTCAACTATTCGAAGAGAATGTTTCTTGATTAGCTACTCAGAAATGTACGTATCCGTCCACAAAAGTCAGAAACAACTACTGCTCTAGATGTTTCTGGGTGTCTTTGCAGGAGTTCTTGGCTTAATCTGCCTTGAACTCTCAAATGCTCAGTCACTTTTCTTCGTAACTGTTCTTTTTTTTTCAGGCCGTCCTTTCACGTTGTCGAATAGGCGTTAGAAAGCTGAGCATGCAAGAGGAATTTTCATCAATTTAATCAAAAGTCCAAATAATATGCCAAAAGCAGTCTCTTGGATAACCTTCTTCAATAATAATCTGTTATAATCAAATAAACTTAATATTTCAAAGTTTTGCCATATTGAAACCAATCTAATTGCCAAAACATCCCAATTTCTATGAAGAATTGAGCAGACGCGACATAAATCAGGTCAAGCAGGTCAAATATATGACATTTAGAAAAGATGAAATAAATATTACATACAAAAAGCAACTAGATGCAAAAAACATCCCAGAGAACCAGTACCCAGTGGCATACAGTTAAACTAACTCCTTTTTAACCATGTAAAAAGGAATTACTGTAAAACAAAGAACAAAGTCTTTTTTAGAATGAAGAGG